TCATGATCAGTGTTACTTTTACAATGAGGGACTAGGACTATAGGCAGTGTTATAACAGTGCTGTTAATATAATGGTAATTCCACTGCCCTATTTCTGTATGAGGTAGAAGACAGTCCAGGTTTCCGAAACACAGTCTGGCAGTCTGTGATTTATTCAAGGCAATGGAGCTCAGTGATGCTACAGATAGATAGTTCCAAGCTGCTGGAAGACCTTTTTAAAGCTCTCTCAGGTGTCTTTCTGCTACTCTGCATCTGTTACGATACAGCAGAGTTATTTCTTGTTATGACTTAGTATTGCTATTTTATCTGACAATGACACCATGCTTTGTTGGCAGACCTGCATCGTGTAGATTGTCACTAATTATACTGGTGTTTTAAGTGTTTACCTGTAAGGCAATAGTGGAAGTGCCACTGCTCACCTCGGCAATTTGATTCTGGTCTTATTAATCTTACTGTCATCTGTTGGCTCTCAGTTGGTTCAAGTCCTTCAAATTTCTCATAAAGCTGAGTGCACCCATTGGACATGCTTCCCGAGCTGAATCTACCATAGCTGAAGTAGTACTTCACTGTTTTAGAACTCTACATTTGTCTTGTCTTTTTATGATATTGTTGAATCACATTCTCTTTACGATTCCCTACAATTTCTGGATCCAGGGCAGTGGTACCACTAAGGGGCCAGTTTTCTCTCATCCTGCGTTCGTGCTGTTCCTGGTCGGTGTCTCATCACTGCACTTCTGTACTGTTCTGTACTTCTCTTTCAACCCATTTTTGCAGTCCGTTTCTCCAATTTATAAAGACTATTTTGAATTCTGTTCCTGTGCTCCGATTGCCTCACTGTCCCTCTCACCTCGGCAGTGTCCACAGAGTTGGTAAGAAGGAGTTTAAATCCATCAGCCCCAAAGTAATGAAAACCAGGAATATGACTGGATACAGAACATAAAGCTCTGCAGAGCCCTGGATGAGGTTTCTTGCCTATTTTACACTATTTGCTATTCAGAGTATGATTTTCTAACATACTTTGTAGTCTCCAAGTACTAGATTCATCCAGGCCGCGTTTCCTTAGCCTGAGAGGTAGTGTGAAAGGTTTACTCAGGTCAGTGTAAGACCTGCCACTTCATCCCTGTCCATGGCGTCGGTTATCCTGTTACCGAAGAACAGCGGAATGATTTTGCAGAGTTTATTCTTGACAAACTCATACTGCCTGCTACTCGTCCCTTGTTATCTTCTGCTGCCTATAGATAACGTCTGTAGGAAAATGTTTTTCCAAGAATAAAAGTTTATCTGACTGCTATGCAGTTCACTGGTTTTTTTCCCCTTTCCTCCTCCAGTTCTTTCGCATTGCATCTTCTGAAGAATGCTGGGCAATCTTGTCTCCAGCGTTCCTAAATAACCCCGTTGACCCAGAAGTTATTTCAAATGTCTCTTCAAGTTTGCCCTCCTTGTTGGCCAAACTTTCTGAGCCAGTGCCCATCAGAAAAAGTTTGTCTCGCCTTTCTGTCCCTTCACCCGGTTGGTGATCTTTCGTTTCCTACTGTTCCCTTTATTGTAAATAGACTATTTTTAGTGTTGGACTTTCTCTGTGTGATTCCTGCGATTGGTAATGGTGTTTCCCTTTGCTTTATTTCTTTGACTCTTCGATTCCTTTCAGATCTGCCATTCAACTTCAGTTTCTTGTCCCTGCCTTTCAATTTTCCTCTCTTTCTAATCTGCTACGGACTGTTTGAGTGAAGATTTTCTTTCAGACCATTTGCATGGTCTTTAAGCTGCTGTGTCCTCTAATTTATACCTCATGCTGTTTGCTCTGTTGCATTATTTAATTCTCTAAAAGGTTTCAGGTGGAGTGGCTTGTGTGTACCACACGCTGCAAAGCACAGCTGTGTCGCGTAGTCTCCATATGCATTTACCATCTCCTTTCTCCTTTTACTTACTGTTTTGGGAAACAGCCTTTCTCACTCCATTATTTCCAGGCTCATGGGTGCGTGAAGGCGGTGCTCCGGGGAGTGGCGGAGGTGTGAGAACTGCTGAATCGCTCGTGCCCTGACGTACCCTTCCTGACCGCCGCAGTGGTGCAGAGCAGGACTCGGTGCACTGGTGGTGGTTATGACGGGGTACCTTACCCCCTGGTACGTGCACAGATACGGAGTTCTGCTTTCTGGTAGGGTTGCAATGATCAGACACTCATAAGCTCCTCAAAAACAAGGCAGAAAGAAAACAGAAATATGTGCTAAATTTCTGATGTTTGCGGAATGTGGGTGTATCTGTATGTAGAGTTATGCAGTCCTTCCTGGACTTTTATTCCAAAAACATCTATTTGTTTTTTTATATAGCTTCTCATTAACCAGAAATATATATAGGCACTATTGATGTACATTTTAAATAAATAGGTACTGCAGCAAAAATTCACCGTGATCAATACTTTTTTTTTCTAAATTTTGCTAACGTCCCTATAACTGTTCAGATGTTTCTTGCTTGCTATAGCATGACCCAAACAGTGGAAGTCAGTAGAAGATTTCCCATTGATTTGTGTGGGTTTGTATAGGTCCATGTAAAGCATTTAACCTCAAAATACGGGCCAATGGTAGAAATGTAGGATCTGAAAATACATATTCCCTGCTCTGAAAGAAAAAAAATGGAAATGCAGAAGAAAGATACCCAGAACTACAGAGACACCAGCTACCCCGCAAGGCAGTGCCTCGCAAGCAGTGCCCTCTTATCTTTTGGCTCAGGGGATAGTATCCGCGTGTTCTGATGTTTGAAGTAGGCTGGGTAGAGTTTAAGTTTTGGCTCAAGGGAGCCTTTAGTTTATTAAATATGGATGTCTTGCCGGGGAGCGGTTGCAGGTAGAAGCACGGTTTCTCTCTGCAGCGCATCGGTTTGCTGGAACGTACGCGTTTGGGAAAGCAGACTCGTCTCTTCTGTGCCTAAATCTTTGCTGTCTGGATCTGCCTATGAGAAATATCAACAAAACCTGTCAGATTGTAGCAATTGCAGGGTTCCTAAGTGTGCTGCGGTGTGAGTGTAGCTGCCTTCAAATCTGTGAATTCAGCAGGCTTGTCACAAGGCTGGCCTCCCCGCAGCACTTCTAGGAGGTCTGCGTTACCTGTAATTATACAGAGAAAATTGCTCAAGTTAATGCCGCGTCTAAACGCCGTACTAACATCTGCCTGTCTTGGCAGTAAGACAGCTACCATAAATATGCGGCGCAACAGGCTGTCAGATATCCTGGCTTCTGCAGTAACTTGCTCTTCTAAGGGTTTTTTCCCAGCTCCAGTCACTAATCAGGCTGTGGGTGATATTTCCGAGCTCTGAAGCTATGGGGTCTATCACACGTCCGTCAACGTCTGTCCTGCTCTCCCCATGAGCATCCGTTTCTGTCTGGATGCTGCTGAGGAGGAATCGGACCTGCTGCTGAGCGGCTGTGGGGAGAGTGACAGTCTCATCCTAACGAAACAATCAGGTTATGAGCTGGTTTGCATTCCTATTCCTGCTTTTGCAGGAACCGAAAGCCGGACTGTTTCTTGCTGCGACTGCAGGAAGCCCCAGAAGCAGTTTCCAGTTCTCTCTGCTTCCAGCCTTTGGTGTAGTCTCATAGAAGTGTGTTTCAGAAAACATAACTTTCAACTGCCTGACACTTCCCAATCTCTTCTGTTTCTTGTCTATAGTGCTATCAATCACATTGCTCGTCAGCTAACCGGTTTTAAATCTCATGTGAAAAAATTGTCAGCCCGAGATCGTTCTATGTAAGGACAACATGTGGCTGCTCTGCCACGCTAATTCATTCTTGCTTAAGACGTGAAAATAAACTGATAGAATATCAATTTGAAGTTTTTAGACTTTGAAATGATTTAAAACCTCTTAAAAGAAAGACTAGGGCTGCAACTTTGTCTCCGAGGCATCATTTTTAACTTAGCAGTAAGCTCTGATGGTCTTTCCTTTAAATTGCCTATTGTACAACGCCTACAAAGAAAGTGCTTCTTTGGGACTGTTTGTGTTTAGTACTGGCGTTTATTTCATTTCATGTGACAGATGACTTGGCTTCTGCGTCTTGTAATCCCTCGCTCGTAGCCCACCGGGGCAGGTTTGTGACCTGCTGAGTGGCTGTGATTTGGCTTGGGAGGGCAGGCTCTCCTGGGAGCCCCGTGTCCCCCGCGCACGCCTGTGTGGGCTTCGTTTGGCGTTTCGCTCGGGTGAGAGGAGTGGGAGCACCGGCCTGTCAGCAACAGCTGATGTGTCTGGTTTCTGTGCCGTGTCGGTGAGGCTGCCTGAGGGCTGCAGGGCAATTTGAGAGGGGCTTAAATAGTGCAGCTCCCTGGAGATCTCGCGGTCAACCACCCCCACGCAGCCCTTCTTGTCCGGACCATGTGCATGCACTGTATGCCCACGTTATTGAATTTGTATCATTTCATTATTTTTTCCATAATGGAATCTGCTTTGTTATTGGTGGTATTCATGGAGATGGGGTCCCACCTAGTAAAGGCCAGCTGGCTGCGTGCTGCCTGGCACGCCTTCTGCACGTCGTCTGCAGCCTTTGCCAAGGACAGGGCCACCCAATTAAGATGTGAATATCTGAAAGCCTTTCATATCTGTTGTGATCGATATTCTGGAGTTGTGGGGTTTCTTACCAGATTTTGGGTTAAGCTTCATAGATTTTTTAAAAATCTTTTATTATCCTAAGGCTTTGATCGTAAGACACACTTATAAAATCCAGAGGATTGCTGGATGAAGCTGAATGAACTCTGCTTTATTCTTCAGCATAGTTGTGCTTTTCATTCACTCATAAATAAATGCCTGGTTTCTGCTTGAGGGATTTTTTTTTTCTGAAAGATGGGGAAATCGAAGAATTGAATGCAACCTTAACATTGTGGCAATTTTACTTTAAGCAGATTTTCTGCTTTTCTTTTTTTTCTTCGCAATATTATCATACAGCAGCTAAACTAATGAATATATAATTTTCTTTCCTTTCTGCTTGTCATGCCCTGCTAACATGGACATCTACAAAGGCTCAGGTTGGTGTTGCAATCTGTCTTCATCTTATCTTACTGTTCTCATTTAGTAAAAAGGGACTTCAATGTTGTTCTTCATCAATCAGCCTTTTTTCCCCTCCTCTCTTTAAAGCAGGATCCGACATTATTACTGCATAGCAGATTCATCCAGAGAGGTGCCGCATTTGTTTGCTACCCCTGTAACTATCCTTCAGCTGCAGCAAAATGTGCTGTTTCAAAACATGGGACATTGATTTATTTATATCTACTTAAATTTGCTATGCTTGCCTAGCTTTGTGACAGGGAGGCAGCAGAAGCTACAGCACCTACAGCTTCTGGAATCGGCAAAAAATGCACTGAAGCTCTAAAGAGTTTCTGCCTTGCTTTAGACCCCCATATCTGACAACATAGTAAAATGACATTTGTTACTATCTTGTCTAGATTCAGTATTTTCTTGATAGTGGAGAAACATAATTAAAAAAGAAAATAAAAAGCAGAGCCACAAGAACTGACCATTTGTGATTGCATTCACATCTTTCCCATTCACACTTTAACATCTCCATTTTTCTGCATAACTCTGAGACTAAATTGTCTTGCCTGAGTTCTTCAGGTAGAAATGAATACCCAGTACCTGCATGATAACTGCAAGGTTATACTCCGTGCTGTGTTCTGCTCCTCAGAGGCTGTAGTAACAGTAAAACCTTGAGTAAAAGTGGGGAGGCAGGTTTGGGGCCAGGAGCTGCACATTCTCCCTTATTTTCTCACGTGGAATGATGCCAGCTTCTTCTTTTAATCTCCAGGAAGGCACACTCGCGTTTTACCATATTACAACTTGGTGTTCTTAACACCTGCACCAATCTTATGAAAAATAAAACCACTTACCACGAGAAAATACGAATTAATAAACCTTGCTGAGCAACGTGTTAGTTCTAGAAGTGTGAGCTGTAATGGCTGGGCTTCGGCAGAGCTCACTTCAATTAACTTCTTAAACAAGGCATTTTCCATTCATTGCATTGAAGAATTTGAAATACAGCGGTGTCTGTCTTTGCATGTTTAATCATCCATTAGAAGAAAATAAGGTATTTACTAGGAGCATTTTTTAAAGTCCAGCAAAAGACTAGATACAGGAGAAGCATCTAAAGGCCATGGTGAGGGAATGTGGAACATCCAGATGTCTTTATAGCAAGACTGTTCTGCTGCTTTCCTAGTTTCTTCTCTTTTCTTTTTCCTCATTTTACAGCCAGAATTTTACAGTGCTGCTTTTTTTGATGGCTTCATCCTGAAATGTCTTTATCTGAACTTCTCAGTATCTGATTTTAAGCTGAGATGTCATCCAGTTAGTGCAAGAAATAGGGCATTTCCAGCTGCAGTCCCCCGCTCCCTGAGGGCTCCCTCACCAGCTGCTATTAAATCACTTAATTCTTCATCCTCAGCTTTCTGATGTATAAATTAGGATTAAAGTTGAGCGGTTATGAGGGTCAGGCTATAAATAGATAATCAAAAACTGGGGAAACGTTAGAAGTCTGGTAATTGTTTTTACCCTTGCTACTCAGCGAGAATCATTTTTCGGCAGTGCTTTTGGAGGCTGTCACCGTGGTTAGTCCCTCAGAGCACCGGGGAAGGGTCTGTTTCTGTAGCAGCTTCCATACTGCCCTCGGGGCAGAGACTGGGACTTGGTACGTCATTCTGTCTATGCTATGTTAATTATTGCCATGACTCTTAATTCATATTTTGTACTTAGAGTAAAATTGATCCCATCCTTTTGCCAGCTACAAAGTTTTAGGCAGGTCTAGGTTTTCTATGAACTTGATTCAGTGCCAGTGAAGGCTTCTCATAACCTTAGCAAAGCTCTAATTGATTTTCTTTTTTCCATACTGCAAAGGAGGTAAAAATGACTTTGATTTAGGTGTAAATGAAAGCTAAAAATGCTGAATTTGCTTCAGGAATATTTGTGCAGGTATCTGCTAGAGGCATGAAAAATTCAGGAATTCCAATAATTTCAGAAGGCTTATTGCACTCTGAACTATTCACACTTTCATGCTGTAAGTCATTCTTAAGCAGAATTTTTAAACTTTGGTGGCTATTTTCAGCATCCGAATACCTAAAGACAAGTATTCATCAGTGAAACAGCTGCTTTGCAAAATCCAAATCACTTGAAAATTAATTGTTCAATCATTTTTGATACTGGTGAGCGGTTAGCATATTTCTGGCAATTGTGATCAATATATAAACCAGCATGAAATAAAATCAATTTTATTTTAAAGACAACTATTTAATGTTGAAATTCTAATGAGGCCATTTCTGTGGTGTAGTGTTTGTTAATGTGCAAGTACTTGCCCTTCAGATGTACAGTTAGTTCTGTAAAGCTTTTAAATGCATGCTTAGATCTGCCAAATCAAATGTGCACTTAAGTAATTAACAAAGTAAGTACTCCATTTTGAATTCAGTTTTCAAGAATTAAATGAAAGAGACTCATTATTACAAACTGTCTGTTTTGGATTAAATGGAATGCGAAGGCAGTATTAGAGCATGATAAAAATTATTCAGTTAATGTGTGCGCACCTTACAACCAGAAAAGAGGTTTGGATGAACAAGATGGGAGTCAACATAGAAGTCAAGTTTGCAGGTAGCTGCAGCGGATGGAGGTCTTTGGAGCTGTATTTCCCACCATGCTCCAGACCTGTTTGTGTCAGGCTGGTTGCAAGAGAAGTGGCCCAGGTTTCATGAAGTGGTGGCCATGCGCTGTAAGTGGAGGAGAGGGCCACTTTTGCATGGTGACATCCCACTGCTGCCTCCTCTTGCAGGCTGGGTGTGCAGGGAACCTAAAAGCAGGTATGCAAAGAAGTGTTCAAAGTGAGCGGATTTCTGGCCAGTCTCGGTAGGAGTGGTTTTAATATCTGTGCTTGAATTTCCTTACCAGCGAGTGTCTGCAACCCAGAGCAAATGAGCTCGCTTTCCTACATGAGATCTTTTCTACCTTTAGTGCCGTTCATGGCGGTCTCCACAGTTTAAAAGTCGGTGGTTATTTCTTCTGGCTGTTTCAATGCATTAGGTCTAATGTAACCTTGGCATAAGGGCAGAGATGTGAAATGGACTTATGTTAGCAATGAATTTAGCCCATTTTTATTAGAAATTTATAGCACAGAGGTTGTCCTGAGGGTCTCAGGCAACTGCTACAGTGATCAGTTTGGTTGTTCTAATATAATAAGCAGATATTGACTTTAGTTGAGGTGAACACCAAGATTTACTGTCTTGAAAGCTAAAATATTGACTGGGGAAAACCAGAGTCAATATTTACCTTGAGGGACAATAAATCTTGATGTTCGCTGAAATATGAAGTCACTATGATTTCAGAAGCATTGAACCTTGTTCTAGTTTACTCTGCAGGTGCTCATCGGCAAAGCTACCTGAAATATAGGTATGAATTTCTTTTAATGAGTCAAATCAATTGAGCAAGTGCACTCGTTTCTGTATGTCCTTTGCAAGGTCAGTATTATTCCTGACCTACATTTACATAAACAAGTTACAGAACATTCTAAATCACACCAAAGCTCTCTGGTGGTTTGATACTTGGACTTTTCATTAAAATGCAAGTATCAGCTTTTAAAAGAAAAAATAAATAGATTAACTTTTCTATATTGTGTTGAAGTAACCAGAAACTTCAAGATACTTTATCAAGGACTCAGGGTTTGCGTTGGAGTGAATGGGAGCTGGCCTGTTTTGCTAGGGCGAAACTATAGCAGTTTGTCTCTTAAAAGGTAGCTTCTGTCCTTCTTCCCTTGAAGTTATGTAGAACTGTGCCCATCAACTTCATTTTGGTGTTCAGATGTTAATGTGTTCCAGACTAATTTTGGCTGCAAAGAGTGATACAGTGGGCCTGTGAAAGTCAGGGGCAAAACTCCCATTGACTGCAGTCAGGCATCATTTCACCCCTTGGTTCGTGGAGCCCAAAGCCCAGCACGTGAATATGAATAAAAATTGAGGAAAGTAGTTAATTTCCTAAAATGCCAGAAGTATTTTGATTGTGTTTATTTCTTGAAAGGTCTACAGGCGAGGTGCTGAGGGATAGAGCCAGGCTGGTCCCCTGGGCGCTGAGCTCTGCAGCTCCGCACAGGTCAGGGGTCTGCAGCTTCCAGCAGCTTTCTGCCCCATGAGCAGTGCAGAGCAACGGGCCCTGTGCTCATTGCATGGTCTTTTTTTAGTTTCTATCCTTCAGGAGACGGATCATGGTAGGACAGCCCCGTACGTGTGTTGGGTGGCTTGGTCTGAAGTTTCTTGTAAAGGAGCTGTCATAGTGGGTTTGCAGAAGTTTGGGGAAGAGTGAGCAGATTATTTTCAAAGGAACTGTTGTCTTTGTGCTTGGGATGAGAAGTGGAGTAGCTGGATAAGGGACATCTGGATCTGCAGTAGAGGCAGCAGATAGCAAATGTGATGTGGTCCAGGATACTGGGACTGTGTCTGATCTGAAGCTTGGACACACTCTACGCTGCAGCCAGGGATCTGTGGGAGCACGTCCCAACACTTTGGGTCCCTGGGTTGGGTGAGCAGTGGGGACACCACATCCCGTCCTAGCCTCTGTTCAGGGTCGGGAGAGGGTGCTCCCACAGAGCCAGGAGGTGAGAAGTGCTCGCAGGTCCCCTGGTTAGCGAGACCCAAAGAACAGCAAGGCTTAGCCAAATTCAAATCCTTTGAAAATGCAAAATCAAGAGGATCATCTGTTTGACCTTGTTAAGTACCACAGCTGTTAGCAAAAGATAGGCGTGAAAGGCTTTAAAGCTTTTTGCTTTTATTTTTTTTCAATACGTAAAAAGAGGAATTGGAAGTGGTTGAAAACAAATGATGGCAAACCAGAAGAGAGAAACAGGAGGAAAACATTGTCCTGTGGAGGAAAGGAACGCATGCCACATCACTGTGGCTTGTTAAATGCAAAGAGAGTTACAAATTATATTCACAGCTTCCAAAATGCATACGTACAGAGTTGGACTGGTGGAAGTCTTGCATCTCTTCATGACTCCCATTTAAAAGGTGTGACAGAGTCTACTGGTACACGTTGTAACTTGCTCTGAAGAAATCTGTCCCTCCTGATGACGCATGGTGGCCATTTACACCTTCCCGCGGTCTCAGAGGTGCTACCAGAGACGGTGTTGCTCGGCCCCGGCGCACGGCAGACGAGAGAGGACATGCAGTAGTGTCAGCACCATAACTTAGGAAACCGAGTTATTTGTAACAATTATATTTCAGGTTTTTGGCAGTGAATGTAACCTGGGAATCCTGACTGAATTGGAGGTACGGAACGGGTCAGCCGCAGACCGCCCGGGTGTTGGGGTACCGCAGGGATGGCGTGGCCGGGGCTGTGTGCCCTCCCTGCTCTGGCGCAGAGCAGGATGTCTGTCTGTCTGTCTGTCTGTCTGTTGGAGGAGGAGGAGGAGAAGGAGGAGGAGGAGGAGAGCTGGTGGGGCTTCACATGTAATCATACCGGCTTGACACGATTAGACAGCAGAATACAAATGCTCTATTAGTGGCTTTATTATTGCAATCCCGCCTGCTCTTGAAGGAGCGTGTTTGAAGTATCACTTCACACCACGTGTATTTGTGTCACTGCGTATGGGCTCTCCGTTTTGTCCTCACGCGTTTCCTCGGGTAGATCTTGGTTCATGTGGCATCCCATCCCTGCCCAAACCCTGCGGGTTTTCCTACGCAGCAATCACAGCAGGTAAGTGCCGCAGAAGGTTTTGACCACCAGAACGTGCTGGTAGGATATTCCTGGTGTCAGCCCTCTGCTGCTGTCCGCAGATGGGCTGTGCTGGTCCAGAGAGGCCCGAGGCTTAGCAGATGTTAACGCAGAGCGATGGAAGGTCACTGAGACAACGAGCCAGGATTGCCAAGCTCTCGGTCTGGCCAAGCGAGGAGCAGAGGCCGCTCGCTGCAGGCAGCGGGGTGAGGAATGAAAGGCTGACAGTGCTTGCGCCGTGACCCGCGGGATCCACAGCCATACCCTCTAACCCTGCGGAAGGGGTATTAATTTGGGCAAGGAAAAGAATCTTAAATGCCTAAAGCCACCGTTCGTGCTGTGCCTGCCCCGGCTGCCCAGCCATGCTTGCAGAGGGACGCAGGCAGCCTCTGTGCCGTCACCTCCTCGCTTCTCCCAGCCTCGTCCTTCTCTCCAAAAGTCTAAAGAGCAGGAACAGGCACCCGCCCAGCTCTTAACAAACTTACTAATAAATTACCTCCATTAACGTTGCCCGGTGAGACATCTGCTCCCTGGGCTGCGGGTGCCCTGCCCGCCAGCAGCCAGTTCTTGCGAACTTCGGTGCTTCGCTCTCTCTGGGTTTTGCCTCCCCTCTGCGGCGAGGGAAACTCTGGTCTAAAACACAAGTTTGCCTTTTCGACTAATGGTCTCCTGCAGACGGCAGTATGTTTTGTCAGGAAACGTCACCACACTGTGGGTTTTGTTGTTTGTTTTTTTTCCTTCCCCGGTGTGGAGCAGGGAAAGTCATAAATACTCCCTGCCTCGGCATCCATCTCCCGGCTGTCCTCGGGCTCCCCGCTGCCGGGGGCTGAGCGCGGGTCCCGCTCCGCCGGCACTTCCTCTCTTCACTAATGTACACCCATTAACGCTAATGAGCATGGCTGCACAGCTAATTAGGGGCACTCCTGCCACCGCTTGCTCAGCCTAGGAAGCTCAGCCTCCATATGCACTGTGTATAGTACATAGCTACCCAGCTATCCTCTGGTTAGGCCAACAGCACCGCCTCGGCGTGTGGAAATCCTCGGCCCCCACCGAGTGACCGAGGTGCGCTGTGACCTTCCACCGAGCTTGGCCGAGCCCAGGAAAGCTGGGGGATGCGGCACGCCGCTCCCGGGAGGCTGCGGGTCAGCCCGCTGGCGTGTGCGGGAAGGTTGTGGTACCCAGCGTCGTGGCGGGGCGTGATTCATCCCCAACGTAGCAGTCCTGCTAAATTTTGCACGTTCTCCCGTGTTATTTGTGCCCAGATTGTGAAAAGGGATTTATGCTGGAGAATATGTAGGAAAAATTGTGCTGATGGTATGACTGCCTTTGCCCGCTTCGTTCCCCTCGCTCTGCCCTTTCCCTGCGTGAGACGTGGTGCTCTGACTAGCTCATGCCGTGCTTGCCCCCACCAGTCCCGACTTCTGTTGCCCTCTCTCCTTTCTTATCTCCTTTGGCAGGGGGGTTGGACTAGATGACCCACAGACGTCCCTTCCAACCCCTACCATTCTGTGATTCTGTGATTCACCTGTTTTGCACTTTTGAGCCTGTCTTACTCTCTCCTCTCTGCAAAACCTATGCACAGTGTTTACAAGGACCTGCAGTTAAAATTGGTTGCTGACATTTGCTGTTCCTGAGGGGTTTTCTTTAGCAAGTTATCTGACTTTCATTTGGTGTGGAGCTATTTTTCTGATGGGACACCAGTTTTGTCTTCTGAGTGGTATCTCAATCTCTGTGCCCCCCCCTCCAAAATGTTGCAAATAAGGTTTCTTTATTGTTTTGACCACAATGTCTGCTATTTTAAAATGAAGCTGTAAACTGTTAAGCCTGTGGTTGAATTTGGGAGGGCTGGGAGGAAGGCTGTTGATTTAGTTATTTTAATGGTGAGATCCGAACGGCTCCACAGCAGCAAGGCCAAAGAAGTTTTGGTGCGTGGAAGAAGAAATTTTAGGTGCACTGTGTTTTCTCAGGGCAGTGCACTGTGCTTCATACAAAGCAACAGAGAACGCTGTGTCTTTAAATCAGCTTCTGCAGACAAACTGGCTTTAAAATAAATAACTTTTTTTCGTCACTGTAACAGAACTGTTGATGCATTAATTTGTTTAAATCTAAAAATCTATTAAAGTACCGTATCTCAGTGTGCTGCTTTTAACAGCCTGAATATTCAGCACCTTTTAAAAATGTTTCTCAAGCCTTTGGCTCTGTTTTTCTCTCTACACAGATACCATAGTTCAGGTGAATACATGATGCTGTTTGATTAGGAGATGCGTTAGAGATAAGTCACTTGCAGGGGAAAAAAGCATTTATAGCTTTTATGTATAAAAATGAAATTTATAGGATGCATGAAATGTCATTCTTTTACAGTAAATGACTTACAAGAATATGTTAGAAGCAAAGGTAAATGAGTGCTGATTTTAAGTTTGCACCTTCTGAAACGCAAAAGGATGCAGTACATGCGGTCCTGGTGAATGATGTGTGATAGATTATAGCGAGAGCAGCCTGAGCAAATGAAATTGTAATGGGGTTCCTCTTCTGGCTGCAGGAAAGAGCTGTTAGTTATCTTCCTTCCTAAGATGCTGCATGCATACTGGTGTTTATTATATACTTAAACATCTCTTGGCAAGTCAATAATGAATAAATGAACTTAAAAGCCGTTACAACACTCTTAGCATAAGGAGCGTGAGGCAGGGCGTTTTTCAGCGTCCTCTTTCCTGGGTTTGGCTGAGGCATTTCGGCAGAGATGCTAACCTGGGTAGTTCAAGTGAACAGTTTTGATTCTTTCTCCTGGCAGGTGCACGAGGCAGTCCCATGCTACGCCGAGTGCAATCAGTATGCTTGGGTAGTAGAACCGTGGTCTCCGTGCAAAATCAACAGCGAACAAAATTCCCTCCACTGTGGAGAAGGAATACAAACGAGGAAAGTCAGGTGCGTGAAGACAAAAGCCCAGGTACTCCAGGTGAAAAAAATCTGATACATACTTGTATAAAGCTGAAATGTCTGGCCGTCTGACAGTAAGTACGTTACTGAGTCCAGTGTATTGCAAACGAGAAGAAACATGCATTTATGTGCAATGGTTTACAGGAAAAGCATCTGGGAGATGCAGCCTTGTGTTATGATCAAGATCTTTCAGGAAGAAGGCATGGTGTTTAAATTGGAATTCTTCAACCTAAATGCCATATATGCATAAAGCCCCCTGAGGTGCAGTATTCTGACTTGCTAACGTTCTCCCCGAGTAATGGCACTGCACGCACCGGAGTGGCGTTCATTATTAGCAAGTATTCGTTCCCCAGGCACGGGGAGATGCTGAGCTATTTCCAAATGTTTGGATGTTACTAGCAGGAGCACAAAGGTTTGTTCTTGCTTGTTGTCATTTTCTGTGCGCTCGTCTGTCAGCCGATCAAAGTTAAAATCTCTCTGTATGAAGTTTGAAATGTTTATTTAACGTAGCTATTGAAATCTGTGTGTAACAGAAGCGTGTCGTGCATGTAGCTGGTTTTGATTTGCATTAAGATGATGAATTCTACGTTTTGACCAGCCATGCTGCACATAGCTGTTGTGTTACGTGTAGTGTCCTGTATGGGGTCAAGCAGACCTGTTGATATCCATCACTTCTGTAGTGCCCTGGTGATCCTCTAATGAAAATGTCTGTTTTCTGTGTAGGTGTGTGAGCACTGCTGAGGACCACGGAGGGGAGACTGTGCCCAGCGCACTGTGTAATCAGGCTGAAATCCCTGATGTAACGCAGAAGTGTAGCTTGTACTGTCCCAGTGAGTGTGCAGTGTCTGACTGGGGACAGTGGAGCAAATGTCCGCAGGTAGGCTCTCCTGCTGGTGTTTCTGTCGCGATGTTCCTCACACGTTGGTCTTCTCTGTCCTTCAGCCATTTCATGAGATCATTATTTTCTAACAAAGTAAATTATTTTCTGAGGGAAGCCAGGCTCAATGGATCCTGCCAGCATGGTTGAGTCTGGAGACTTTTTTATTTCTACAGAGCCTGAGCTGTAGAAAATTAGCTAGTAAAACACAGAGTTACTACTGTGACACTTGATTCCACTCATCCTTCCACTTGGTCTATGGGAAAGGACCCACACAATACAGCGGGTGAAGGGACCAGGATTGTAGCTGCAGTAAGGGCTGGCTGTGTTAGGAAATATTTGCAGGGGAGAGGTCTGCGAGCAATGCACGACTGCCATAAGAAGCTGCCGATAAACCGTGGTGGTGACACTGCTTCGGACAGGTCTTAGGCTGAGGGAATGACAGCTCTCCCTTCCTGACAGACGCCATTTCTGTCCAGCGTCTCCTCCTCCTCAAAACCTCGAGGGGAGATTTGAGGGAACAGCAACGGAAGGGCATGGCAGCAAGATGCCTGAACAACTTGGTCATGTCACAAAATGCTTAAAACTTTGTGAATTATGCAGGCATTCAAGCCACCACCAAGTGATCTGTTTTCCTACGTATGCAAGATGGAAAGAAGCTGCAAATTCTGCCTTGTGAAAACTCGCTGGCCTCAAAGCATGCAATTTCCAACCCATTGTTTCTCTCTGATCGGTGTTGAAATTGGTACCGGGTTTAATCTCAGGGGTTTTGTAATAGACTTGCTTGATGTATTTAAGTGACAAACATATATTCATTGCCCCTGTGTTAACAGGGCCATTATCAAAAGTCTGAGTGGTTATTGGACAGGTATTCATACTACTGCTGACACAGGTAATTTCCTCCCATAATATTTTGTGTAGCATATCAATATACTCAGTGAGAACATGTCAAATAAAATCTTGTGTTTCATTTCCTGCATTCGCCGCCTCCTGAGCAGCGGTAGCTTTGATGAAGTATAACAGTCCTGCAACCGATACAGAAGCTTGGATACCTTTCGAAGTCCCACTGTGGTTGGGCTGTTTCTTTGCCATTGACCTTTTTTTTTTTTTAAGAGATGGATTTTCTTCATTTTAGCACGCAGTAAACTAATGCAGAGATCCTCAAGGCGTTTGGGTATTTTCTGGTGCTTTGGTGGCAGTTGGTTGGTGGCAAAGGACTGCTGGAAGCTTTAAGCACCCTAGTATACTTAAGACACCCTGAGCTTTTGCCTGAAGACTCCTCTTTGGCAGTGGCAAAGCCTCTGTAGCCCACAGAAGCAGGAAAGGGGGGGCCAGAGCTCGTGGGCTGCACTCCATCAGGCAGCGAAGCTCTTGGCAGTCGCAGGGCCGAGTGGCACAATCCCTGTGTCTCCTTGTACATCCTTTTGCCACAAAAGATGTTAATTCATAAATGTGAGGGCATCTGCATGCCAATGCAATTAACTGAACAATATGTTTTCACAAGCTGTTCTGCAACGCCTTGTTGTGAAACTGAGATGACTGTGTGTGGATGGAGCATGTGTTTAAATAGTTCTGTCCAGATAGGAGGCAATAAACAGCTTGAAGTTTTATGGACAGATAAACCCCTCCCTTTGAAGAGTTTACAGCAGTGCTGTCTCCCGTTTATAGCTTCTCAGGCTATCTGTGTTCCTTTGGTTTGGAGAAAGGACCGCACAGCACCATCCCTGCCAGGCTGCACACGCTTAACATCTCCAAGGCAAGTGCTGGGCTTGCTCTAAGTGCAGGATGGCTGTACCATGACGGGGGTTATCTTCAGTCTGAGGGAGGTGGTACCGGTGTGATAGTGTAGGGATTGAGGGAAACGTGGTGGCCAGGACTGAGACATTGCCAGCACCAGGGTAATTAACACAACCCTCCATCTCCTGAGTTGCTGCTAGGAAAGGTGGTCACTGAGAATGGCCACAAGCTGGTGGACATGGTCAATGGAGTTACAAAGGCAACGGAGCGTAGGGACGATCCTGTTTCCTCTTTAAGGGAAGAGCTACATGTCGTCAGTTGAGTAGCTCCACTGGTTGCAAGTGAGTGGTTGGGTCTGGACCTTGCGTGGAGACCCTACATGTAGACACCCAAATATAGGAGTCTGCACTTGGAGCTGAATCTCTTGTTAAGTCTTTTGGTCAGACTGTTGTGCCTCCAGCCTGCTTGAATTGTCTTCCCACGGAGCCCAAAAAATGTATCAGTAAGTGTAGAACCTCTGGCTCATTAGGACTGTCTATTTAACTGTGTTTGGGGGAATTTTGCTCAAGAGCTGCTATACTCATGCATGGTTTCTGATTCGTGCCAAACTGGAAGTAAATGCCTGTCTTCCGAGGGTGTATAAAGTGCTTTTTGAATATTCACTGAAAATCCGTTTTCTATGTATGGCTCCTTTCTCTTCCCCAAGTAATCCGAAAAATTTGAAGGATCACATTGAATTGAAATGAAAAAGCAAAACCGTACATCCTGGCTGCTCTTTTTCAAGCACATTTACATTTCATACCAAAATAGTTGGCACTCTTTTAGTCATAGCACTCTTGTGAGGCAGCTGCTGAAGAGCATTCTGGGAGATCTTCCTGTATCTCTGGTCATGTTTGGCTTTTTGGAGATAAAGAGGATTTGTGAAACTTGAAAAATTCTGGTTTGTAAGAAATGAGCAACCACAATTTCAGCCTCGTCTTTGCCTGAGTAGCTCTGTGAGTTGGGTTACTTTCAGATACCTCAGATTTTGGTCAGGTGAGAATTCTTTTCCAGTCGCTTTTGTGTTCTGCTCATATTTTATAGTGTTGATAATAAATTTATCCTGATAGTGGAATAACTAACTCTTATCAGCTGAATATAAAAAGGCCTTTTAGATTATCCGGTTTACCTCTTGTCAATATGTCATTGTACTCTGGATACTTTCTAGGGTATTACTTGGTTTGATCTTGTAGCGATACTCTTCCCATGTGACTTCCACTTTCAGGATAGTAAATGATCTTGAATCATGTTGAAATCAATGAATCATAAAGGTGGCAACTGCTTTGTCAGTAGGAAGTATTTTCTTCAGTACTTCTTTCTGCTATAACATTGTATTTGTTCTACCTTTTTTGGCTGCTTTGCCCTTTTGCTTTTGAGCAGTTGTATTTCTAGGGTGATCTTTTGTAATTTCAGATGCTCCCACAATTCTTTTATGTGTATTTTCCAACCGGATTGCCATTTCTGCATCTTGATTGTAGTGCTATTTAACACTGCTACACAAAGCTAAATTTAAATATTTCCTCTAACGCCACTGTGCCGTGACCCAGAAATGCAGCTGTCTGAAATGTAATACTTCGAGGTTACTTCTGAGGTTTTGTCTGTCTACTGTATTCAAGAAATTCGTAATTACCGATTTAAAGCTTCCCTATTATTCTCATATTCTCTATTGTGAGAGGTAAATTCAGAATGGTTTTCCCTCTGATTGAAGGCTGTTTTTTGGCTCATAAAGTTTTCTTCTGTATCACTAAGTAACATCCATGTAACTTAAATATCAAGGCTTTAAAGCCATTTAAAATAACAGTTTGAAGCTTGCTAGTCAGGAAAAAAAAATGTCATGAGCAAATTAGATTGGCTTGCATTTTGCTTCAGAGATTTCGTATTCGTTCCAGCTACAATAGCGTGTTCAGTCAGACATCATCACTTGATTGCTCAAAGACCCTGCTAAACAGTCTGGAAACTGAAATCCTATCGTCTCTGTTACATATTCAGTGATCGAATAGCACACACTACCTGCGGTGTCTCGACTTTGTATTCATCTGACTTGGAAATGTAATTAATTGACTTCAATTGAATTCATCAAAGCATTCTTAAAAAGAGTTAATATGTGAGTTGTGCTACAAGTCCCTGAAATAATTACCTCGAATTTATTTTGTTAGCTCTCTTGCTGCCATGTGGGTAGCTGTTGCAGCCCACGTAGCCGATCGGAGTGGCCTCCTTGTTTGCCTCAGCTGTTGGCATTTCCAGCAGCTAATTCTAAGAGGTCTGAAATTAGTTAATTATAGGAGGTTGCATGTCTAGTGGGTGAGAACAGCTGTCTCTGTTTCAGTGAGCATTTTCCTCATGGATCAGCAGCGATGCACAGTGCTCAGGACTTGTGACAGTTGAGTAGTTATTCTCTCGAATCTGGGGGGTGGCAGTGGTGTAGTATTGCAAAAACTGGTCCTATTAACAGTGGCACCCTGCAATACAGCCGACTCTCAGGTTTTGCAGTGACTTTCATCTTAGATGTGAGTCCTAGTCGTTGTAGTTTGGCAATGCTTTCCCTCCTGAGCCAAGTGGAAGAGAAGTTGCGGACTTGTGTAGACGCTGGGACTCACTGAAGTCTTCATCACAACTAGTACCGTTATACGTAGGTTTGGCAGAGGACCTGCAGTATGGAGGCTGGATTGAAGAATGAAGCTTGCACAGAGATGTATTTCTAGCCCTAGAGAGAATTTATTCAGGTCAAGCGTGAGAATTATGCTGGTCCAAGGCTTTTCTGCAAGAACATCCACTTCTCCTTATGCATAGCTGGGACTTGATTTTTTTTTTATCAGAAAGTTAGTAACTGCTGTATTTTTTTAGAACCATTGGTTTATTTTTACTCATCTTTATTAACAATCATTTTTTTAAAAAGCATTGTTTATATATGGAGGCAGATGAGGTTTCAGAACCTAGATGCATCTCAAAAAGAAATTTAATGCAAATGCATTTTCATTTCAAAAGACTGCTCATGTTATTGTAAATGGCTTGTTAAATTGTTACAAAACATCCACATCGGCGTGAACAATATAACGGTTCATTTGCACTGTTAAAAATAGTCAAATCCTGTTGCTGCCAACGCAGTTACCTTCATTTGAGGTTGTATGTTTCCTTATGAATAGCCAGTTAAATATAATGTGGCCAGCTATTTATAGTGCAGTATGCATTATAAAAGCTGCTTGATAAATTAAACAGCTTAAAGG